CTTTCACTTTAGCAGCAGCATGCAAATGTGATCTTTCTCTTGGACCTCTGTAATGAGCCAACCTTGCAGAAACACTGCAGGTTATTGACCTTTTCCAGCACTGAATCTATGAAACATTGTTGTCTCCTATTACTTCACTGTAGCCATAATTTGAATCTGGGCTTTTTTTTGTTGCTGAAGGTGGGTAATGCTTATCAGAAGGGTGCAGGATGCTCTCTTCTTCAGGACCTGTTTCACTAATTATTGTAGATCCCAATCAGAGAATTGTAGGGTAGCTGAATCAATCCTTCCTTATCCCTAGCTCCATAATCCTTTGTGTAACATTCTATCAATAAAATGTGAGGCACAAAGGCTTGTGTACCATTCAGATTACAATGGTCTCATTCACTTTTGTGTACATATATTCACTAACCATTTTCAAAATATCATCAATGATTACTGTTAAGGTGTGGTGGAGAAATGATTCTGCACAAATGCTTTATGATATGTACGATGCGACCGTCAGTCCAAAATGGCAAGCTGTGCTCTGTGACCGCTGACAGCCCTACAGGATTACATTAATATGACATGACAGTGTGCAGATCTTAAGGACCTGATCAGGGATTTTCCTTGTGGATAAATCCTGATGGACGTGTGGCAAGAAGGCAAGTGGACAGGATAATGACTATAGAAATATTCATTATTCTTCCACTGAGTCTCCACAGTTAACTACATCACTGCAGCATATCTCACTAGGTACTGCTGCCAAGACTATGCCATCTTCATAGCTGTACCTTATGAATGAGTTGATGCTTTCAGTGCTTCCCAATAGTACACTGTGAACACAGGTAGGTGTAGGAATTTAAGTGTTGTAGATGCATGAGTCACTGGAAGTTAATATGCACGTACAGCATGAAATCAAGAAGGCGAGCAGGATGATTTTCCATTTTAGAAAGGAACTTAACATCAAAGGAAGAAAGCTATGCTTTTGTTATACAAGAATTGATGAAACTACATCTTGAATACTGCGAGCAGATTTGCTTTCCTTCTTAATGGAAGAATATAAATAGAGTGAAGGTGGACCTCTGACCCCTCATGACTAAACTAGCCCCACCTGCCTGCTCCTGGCCCATATCCCTCCAAACCTTTCCTATTCATGTACTTATCCAAAAGTCTTTTAAATGTTGCAATTGTACCCACATCCACCAGTTCTGCAGGAAGTTTCTTCCACATGTAAAAAATTTGCCCCTCATGTCTTTTTTCAATCTCTCTCCTCTCACCTTAAAAATGTGCCCCCTAGACTTGAAATCCCTCATCCTGGGGAAAAGGCAACTACCATTAACTCTATCAGTACCCCTCATTATTTTACAAACTTCTATAATGTTGCCTCTGAACCTCCTACGTTCCAATGAAAAAAATCCCAACCTATCCAGCCTTCCTTTTTCACTCAAACCTTCCATACCCGGCATTATCCTGGTGAATCTCCTCTGAACCATCTCCAGCTTAATAACATCCTTCCTATAACTGGACAACTTCATTACTTTAAGTTTTAAATATTTTGATCTACGATGGGAATACTTTAAAAGCAAGCCCTGTTCATTAGTGAGGTTAATAGTTGTACTTCAACCTGAAGACATGTTATTAGTCATGTCCCCTGATGAATAGTCTGAGACACATTTTTCTTTACTGTCTTTATTAATGAATGTGCACAGTCTCATTGGGAATATCTTAAATAAGTTTTCCAATGACACAAGTCTCGGGACTATTGGAAGGCCCTGCACAGTATGATTTACAGGGAATATTGCTGATTGAAGTTGAGAGACCAAATATAATTTAAAGTTCTTGGCCAATGTTGAGAATCTATGACTAAAGCTAGCAATTGTTATGCTAACTGAAGCATTCAAAATACATCAAAAAACATTATTTGATTCCAAGCAAATTTGCTGGTCAAATCAAAATTAAGACAACAAAAACTAAGATTTACTGGACTTAAAATGTCAACTCTCTTTCTCTCTCCATAGATGTTGCCAGACCAGCTGAGTTTCTCCAACACTTTCTGTTTTTATTTCAGATTTCTAGCTTCTACAGTTCTTTGCTTTATTAAGATATTGGACTTAGTTTTGGTCCCTTCCACCAGATAGGTGACATGGTGACTTCAGAAAAGCTTCGTAGGTAAGCTGCAGGAAGACCCTCAGCTACTCAGGCTCAAGAATTGTGGATTGCTTACCGCAAACAATGCAAACTTATGAGATTCTTTTTTTCATGGGATGTGGTATCATTGGCTAAGCCAGCATTTATTTCTCATCCCAACCTGCCCTTGAGAAGGTACTCAGTGGAATTTTGAAGAATAAGAAGGAATCATATGGAAACGTGTACAATTCCTAGAGAGAGCTGAACAGCGGCATTGTCATGAGGCTGCGGCCCCTGATCAATGAGTCTAGAACTAGGAATAAAGGCTCACTCACTCACTTAAATCAGGAGAAATTTCTTTAGTTATCATTTTATGAATCTTTGGAGTTCTCTGCCCCAGGGGTTTGCAGATAATCAGCAAATGAGTATAATCAAGAGTGAGATTCAGAAACTTTTGGGCACGAAATGATTAAAAGATGTGCAGACGCGGTCGTGCTTTAGAAATTTGATCGTGTGGAAGGGCAGAGCAGATTTCTGTCCTATTCCTGTTTGTATTTCTATGCTTTCATGATGCTGCAGTCATCATGATGTCAGATAGTTGTGATGCACTATTGCTCTTTTCTGCTCATTAACTGTGAATGTTTCTGTTGGTTTCAATTTGATATAAAAGACATTTAACTTTCGGATTTTCTGAAGAAGGGTCTAGGCCCGAAACGTCAGCCTTCCTGCTCTTCTGATGCGGCTTGGCCTGCTGTGTTCATCCAGCTCTGCACCTTGTTATCTAACTTTTGGTGTACCTAGATTCTTTGCTGTTTCCTGAACTGGAATGAAAATTTATATTGAAGGAAACCTTTTTGCACCTTATGTTCTAAATGGAAGTTTTTTAAAGCATTTATTTGTGGAAGGAGGGTGTCGCTGACTGGATTAGTATTTATGGCCCATCCCTAAATGTCTTTGATCTGAGTGGCTAATCAAAAGTCATATCAGAGGGACATTAACAGTCAACCACATTGCTATGGGTCTGGGGTCGCATGTAGACCAGACCAGGAAAGGATGGCCGATTTCCATTCCTAAAGGTCATTAGTAAACCAAACGGTTTTTTTTTGACAATTAACAATGGTTTCATGATTAGCATTAGGTTAGCATTGTAGTGTTATTAGCTTTTTACTGTTTATGGTGGTTACTTTTTATGCAAAGAACTTCCCAATTTTGTTGAAGCTGTGTCCTCTTGGCCTCCTGTCACAATTTAAATTAATATTCTAGACTTATCTTTTTCAGTCCCCTCCATTAAATTTTTTCTGAGATAGTTCCTTTCTCGGGCAAAAAGCTCAACTTTATTTGAAGGTTGTTTCTGGTGATTTACAGCCAATGATGTGTTTCTTTTCTATCAATGAAACCATTTTTTACATGTACTGATTTTGAAAAACATAACCACTTCCTAACAAAAATCTCCCCCAAATAATCATATCATCCTAAAACCAACCTTCCTCTGTTTCAGTTTAATATTGCATATAGTTTACTGCTAACACCCATTGTGAACGGGTAGAACCAATGCTTGACTGAGTGTCAAATTAAAGATGAGAAAAGTTTTTGTTTTAACTAATGACATGTATTTGCTGAACATTATGTCTAATGAAACTGTCACATTCTTTATTGTTTGAAATATTGGTATGGAGTAGTTGTTCATTTTATTTTGTGAAATAGAATACCAAAGGAAACAAAGCACTCTATCCGTCATGGTCTTTCATAGATCATTGACAGTCTGATCAATAAAAGAATTTGTTGTAGACCTGTTCTCATACAATGTGAATATTTGCACACTTAGCAGGTTACTGGATAGCAGTCAGGAATCTTGGCTGATTTTCACTTTCTTCACTACCCTTCCCTCTCTTGCAGCCTTTGTTGACATTACCCCTGAGGACAGACTGATTATAAAGAAATGTTTTTTTACACCTTCTTTTTCACTGCCAGTAGTGACAATGCTAAAAACTTTGTAGAGATAGAGAAACGCAATGATATAATTACACCTACAATCATGTTACCATAGGCACCTCCATTCAGGGATCTGGTGAAAGTATTTTGAAATATAGCAACAATAGTCAACAACTATGTGCCTTTAAGTCCATGACTTTTAGATTTCAGTTTAATGCTATCTGAAGGTTAGGGAAATACTGTGCGATAATGAAAACTGATGGAGTGGAAAATCAATCTTTCTACTTGGAAATGTCTCTCTGAAACTTGACATTTTTTGTTGAAGCAATGAACAACTATTGCTTCTATACCGGAGGACTGTCCCCACTGAATCATTAGCATCTGGGTTGATCATTGATTCTGTGAATCCTTAATATAAACTGTTCAGTGTTAATGCTCTTTTTATATAAAACTGTATTTTGATTCCATTCAATACTCAATATCATTAATCTTAGCAATCATGATGACAGAAATTTACTTATGAAATTGTGATTGTACCTCGGCTGAGAGGAGTCACGCTTGCTACTGTAAATCACATTTCACAGATAATAGTCTAACAGGTCAACTTAATTTCTCTCATTCAATGTAATTAACTTACATGTTATAAATGTATAATTACAGGTAAACACCTATCATTAAAATAATCTAATCTTAGACTATGACTAGTATTTTTATGGTATAACCTCAACTCTTCACATGGAATTACTTATTTGTAGTCACTGCCAGCTATCTATTTTACTCTAAGAAAAAATCTCCCTGATTAGTTTATAGACGAAACTTCCTTTACCTTAATGATTGTTCTATTAGTAAAACATATCTGAAACTCCGAAGTAAATGACAATCTGCTTATCAGATTGTTCTGTTATTCTCCGTTGCTTAGATAAAGTAAACAGGATAAGAGAACAGTAAAGCCTTTTTACTTGAACTGTGATGATCTTATCACCAGCTCCATCAGCGACCTGAAACCTGTGACCTTCTTGAATGGCTTTAACTTGCAAACTTTGTCATGAAGTTCTGCAGAAAACAAAGTTTATTTTTAAAGTTATGAGCTAACTGAAGTTTTGGTTTTGCACATGGGTTTGATAAAAGAAATCAACTATTTTTTTAAAAGATTCTTTAAATGTTTTATGAAATTCTTTGTGTATTTGTTGATGAGGTCTGATCCTTAAAAACAGAAATGAATCTTACCAAAAATGAACTAAACACATTCTGTGGATTCTGAAATGATTTCTGCAGATTAGAAGTTGGCAAACATCAACCATCTATTTAAGAAGGGAGTGAGATAGAAACCAGGGAACCACACATCTGTTAGCCTTATGTCAGTAAGCTGGAAAATGGTATAATCCATTATGGAAGTTGTGATAAATGGACATTTGGATTACAATGATCTGACCTGGAATAGTCAGTGTGGATTTGCGAAATTGGAAATTATATTTGACTAAATTGGAGTTTTTTGACGATGTTCCTAAGAAAACTGATAAAGCGGAATTGATGGATGTAGCTTACTTCGATGTTTAGAAGTCTTTTGATAAGGTCCCTCACAGGACGTTGATTAGCAAAGTTAATGCGATAGGACGTAATGCACTGGCATGAATCTAGGATTGGCTAATAGGCAGAAAGCCAGAAAACATGGCTTCAGGTCTCCTTGTCAATAAATCTCTCAAGGCTGATATGCAGGTACAGCAAGCTATTGGGAAGGCTAAGGGAATTTACCACAGGAGGATTGGAGTACAGCAGTAGTGAAGTCTTGCTTCTATTGTACAGAAGTTTGGTTAGACCACACTTGGATTATGAGTAACTTGGGCCTGTATTCTCAGGGTAGATGCAGGTAAAATGTTTCTTAGTCTAGAACCAAGAGGCACAACTTAAAAAGGATGATACTTAGGACCATGATGATGAAAGTTTCTTTTAATCCAAGTATTGTGGATCTTTGGATTTCTCTACGTCAAAGACTGTGAAAGCTTAGTTTTTGAATATGTTTAAGGTTATCATTTTTAACACCTGACTCTGCACCAGGTCATTTGTTGCCAGCCATGAACAGCCCTTTATAACGCACGCAGTGGAAGTGAAAAGGAACAGCTTCTAAAGGAAGGCACCTAAGTGGTACGGGTGACTCTTTCATTGCAAATAGAAGTTCACATTCGTAAATGTATTGCGACTTTATATCATCACCTCTCTGATTGACAGTCATAGCAACTGCAGCTACAGGAATCAAGCGACAAAGGCAACCTTTCTTTACCACAATACGGTATTGGAACCCTGTTTAAGGAAATGCTACTCTTCCCCAGTGTCTAGCACAGCATAACATCATGTCATTGGTCTGTGTAGGAGCTTGACATGCTAGAACATTTTCAAATCATTTGAATAATAACTTTTATTGAACAACAGGAGGAACAAAGAAGAAACCAATCCCATATCACCCAAGGAAGGCAGCATTGTGTATAAAAGCATTTTGGCAAATATTTACAGTCTAAGATGAGAGGAAATCAACTTTGTGCCTTTGTGCAGCCTCTGAGACCTCGGATAGTCTTTGAATTGTGGCCCACAGGTGACAATTTTAAGGTTATCTGTGACTACTTCAGCTCCACAGTAATGACTATGACATGGTCAAATTGCTTATGGCCAGGATTTGTATCCCACTTAGTTGGACACTGCATGTACCTTATTTGTTTGTTCATTTAGGTGTTCCATGTCACATTCACAGTGATTGTGATCGAGAGCAGGATCCTAGAAGAGCCTCACAATGTTTATGATATTAGATGGGTATGTGTATGCAGTGTGGTTTGGCAGTGACACTAAGATGAAAGGTGTTGATGCAGTCCAAAGTGGGGCAGTAAAGTGGAGAACTGTATTCTAAGTGTGTTGGATATGCATCATGATGATACGCTCAAGCTGCCGCCTGTCAGACACCACCTCCACAAACTGGCCGAGGCATCCATGAGATCACTGCCCACGGTGTGTGCCATGGGCGATTGGAACGGCTGGCCAAGCTGAGGCCCAGAGGCACAAGCAGTGAGGTGGAGTCACCAGATACCCTCTCGGACTTTCACAATAGAAATTGTTACTGCCTAGTTTCTCTCTGCTGTGTAGGAAAATAGCATATCAATAAGGCAGAATTGGGTCCTCAAGAAATTTTGATGAATTTAATTTGACGAGAGCTCTTGCTGCTCGTGAACAAGATTCTTGCGTCGCTGTTTAAACCTTAAGCAGAACATCAAACTTTCTCACAATGTTGGAATCTCAATTTTCTTGCCATATTTTTTGAACGGATTCGCCATTGACCACATCATTCAGGGATTGGGAAATTTCCACGCATTCTATTTTTGGACTCATTCCACTCATCTTTGAGCCCTGCTGCTTGATTTACAGGAAAATTCATGCAAGGGAAAGTTAATAATATGACTGAGTAACAGCACCTTCTTAAAATTGGTTTTGGAACGTTATAAATGTTATAACTGCTAATTTACAGGATTAAAAAGGCATATCTTGAAATAAATTGGCATCCAACTTGAACTGATACATTCAGCACTGATTTTTTGATTGCTATTGGAAAGTCAGATTTATTGAAGATAAATATATTAATAGTCCATAATTAAGCAGCAGTAAATTAGTGCAATTTGAAAAAGATGATTTGTTTTCTTAGGAAGCTGCATTGGAAGGATTTCTCTATGAATTTCAGCAGATGTTTATTACCACAGCTGCAGCTGAGAATCCATATACAATCTTTGCTTCCACGCCTTTGCCAATTGCTTTCCAAAGCTGATAGATCTTATCAAGAAAAACTGAAAGGACTGCAGAAAAGACTGCTGGAAATCAGAAACAAAAACAGAAATTGCTGAAAAAGCTCAATTATTCTAGTTCTGAGGAAGGGTCACCAGACCCGAAACGTTAACTCTGATTTCTCTCTCAGAAACTGCCAGACCTGCTGAGCTGGTCCAGAGCATTTCAAAAATTCTTTTCCCAGATTTTTCTTCAATTCAATTTGTATTGCTGCAACAGAGACCATGTAAAAATGTACCAGAATGTTAGAGACAACAAGGTGCAGGGCTGGATGAACACAGCAGGCCAAGCAGCATCATAGGAGCAGAGAGGCTGACGTTTCGGGCCTAGACCCTTCATCAGAAAAGGGGGAGGGGAAGGGGGTTTTGAAATAAATAGGGAGAGAGTGGGAGGCGGATAGAAGAGGGATAGAGGAGAGGATAGGTGGAGAGGAAACAAACAGGTCGAAGAGGCGGGGATGGGGCCAGGAAAGGTGAGTGTAGGTAGGGAGTTAGGAAGGGGATAGGTCAGTCCAGGGAGGACGGACAGGTAAAGGGGGCGGGATGAGGTTGGTCGGGAGGAGATGGAGGTGCGGCTTGGGGTGGGAGGAGGGGATAG